CCATCAGTGGAGATGTGCTGTGGGAATATACAAGATATGCTTCTTTAAAGACTAAAAAAGGAAAAATAAGTAAAACCACGAGGGAGAGAGTGGACAAAGGCCCACAGACTTCCCGACCCCCCAGACTCCTTCCCTGCTGGGTCCATGCGAGGGTCTGCGTGGCTAAACAAAGGGGGAGAGTAAAAGCAAGGTGGACCTGACATCTTCCGTGACAGAAGTTCATTTCAAACATGAAACTAACTAACAAGCAAACAGGAATCTTCCCATCACAGACCTGGAGCCCCACCCTGAGGCTGTGCTGCATCCCAGGCGCCCCCCCCCCAGACACTCCCCACAGCCTCACTGTGCACCCATGCTCACCCCGTCTGTGAAGAAGCTTCGGAGCATCCGAAGGCTGGGCACTCGGTTTGGCAGGCGCCTGGGGAGCGAGGGCCGAGGTGAGGGGCACAGGAAGCCCAGCGGGCACTTCCCTGTCTTGTCAGCCCCCGGGGCCCTCGGCCAAGCGGGCATCCAGGGAGGAAACACACGGCACCCCAGGGGGAGAACCTCCGGGCTGGGACCACTGCCACAGCCCTGCCGGCCAAGGGAGAGAGGAGCTGGCCTGGGAGGAGGCCGGGCGTGGCGCCACCCACCCTGCCCGTAGCCCACCAGGCCTCACCGCAGAGCCCTGCCCTCGTCGCGGAAGGAGTTGAGCCCGTCGTCGCAGGACTTGGAGCGCTCCGTGGTGATGGCCAGGAGGTAGGAGGAGCGGCGGCCAGCTTTGATGCTACCTGCAAAGCGTCCATACTGCATTCCAGGGACCCAGGCAGCAGGCCAGGGGCTTTCCCGCATGTAGCTCACCCGTCCAGGCAGGGCCAAGGGATGTCCATCTCCTTGGGGACCCAGGAGCAGCAGAAACCCCGGATTGTGCAGACAGCGGGCCCAACAGAGACCCCCACCCCCACCCCAAGGCCAGAATGGGGCTGGGGCAAGGGGAGACTCACTGCAGTCCTGGGAGTAGTGACGGCCCAGGGCAAAGGTGAAGGTGGGGGAGGTGGGGCTGGTGCCCAGGACGGGGGCTGAGTTCATGGCACTGGAGACCACCGCGGAGGCGGGGACATGCTTGGCTTGGAGGTCGATGCTGGGGCTGGTGGGCTCATCTGCACAAGTGGGAGGGAGAGCAGGATGGGTGGAGGTGGCTGAGGGCTGACGCTCCCTCCATGGACCCAGGCAGCCAGCCCGCCAGCCCTGTGTCCCTCCAAGCCAGGTCCAGACTTGTCCTGCAGCCAAGGCCCTGCTGGCAAAAAGGCTCACCGCAGAGGGCCAAGGCCCCAGTCTCCCCCACCCCACCCCACCCCCAGCAGGGCTGCCCTTTCTATCACATTGCGGGCAGCAAGAGCAGGGCTGAGACACATCAGAGCAGGGTCCCTGAGGGCAGGGCCGATGTCCTCAGGTCACACCAGAGCTTCCTGGGGCAGGGCCCGTCAGCCCTGTCAGATCGGGAGCCCACTGAAGGCAGAGCTTATGTCTCCATGGGACTCATCCGTTCCCCCATCCCTCCTGAAGGCAAGGACTCTGTCCCCACCAGATGGGAGCTTCCTGAAGACAGACTGTGTCCCCCCATCAGGCTGGACCTTCCTGGGGACAGAGACTGTGTCTCTCCCATCAGTCTGGGAGCAGGGACCATGTCTCTCCTCCATCAGACTGGAGCTTCCTGGCCGGAAAGGCTATGCTGCTGCTCAGACTGAGAAACTCTGGAAGTAGAGGCTTTAAATCCTCCCTCAGAGCCCAGAGCTGTGTCTCCTCTCTCTTCCCTGCTCTTCTCTTGCTCCCCAAAATGCCTGGGGTGAGCTCACCACTCCCAGCGCCAGGCACCACCTCTGGGTTCCGGGCTCATTATCTTGCATCCTGGTCTTTTTCCCCAAAGCCCGAGACTCAGTTCAACTCTCCCAGCTGCCTCCACAGCACCTCATACTCAACACGCCCTGCACCTGTCCCTGCTCCTCCTGACCCCTCCGCCTCGGCCC